TAGACAATTGCTTTTATTATAAATATGTTTATTCATAGATATGTTCATGAACGTGTTTGTTTGATAGTTAAAAAAAAATTCATTAATGAACTGAACATGAACCGAACATGAACACTCATAAATTTAAATGAACCAAACATAAACACAAATAATAAAGCTCGAACAAACATGAACCAAACTTGAACAAGCTGATGTTAAATGAACACAAACATACTCGGCTCGGCTCGGTTCGTTTGCAGCTCTACTCCCAATCTCTAGATGATGAATCTAGAGCCCAAAACCCTAAGAGACTAACTCCAATGCATGCATCCCCTAGCCTTAAGCTCCTCTCCTCTTTTAATACAAATCTTCTTAATAAAAGCTAATAAAATATTTCCTAAAACAATTATTAATTCAAATAGTTTCCTATTGCCTTTTCCCTCTCTCTCCTTGCCACCCTAGGGGGACCCACATGAGTGTGCGGCCATCAAGGAGGCGGTTTAGCCCACCTCCTATAGGTGTGAACCTGCCTCACCTGGGCCGGTTTGGATGCCAGAACCGTGACATTATAATGGATATTGATAATTCTTTCTTTAATTAAGGGAGCAATTTGTTTACTTGAGAATTAATTGGCAGGAAACATATTTAAGACGCATCTCAACTTGCTTGGCAGCAGGTAATTAACTTTCTCAAGTTTCATCATTATTTTGCCATTGAATAATTTACTTTTAATTGACATGGTTTCCTTCTAGATGGAATTGTGATTAACATGGTAGTTGGAGGTGAAGTAGTGATTTTGAAAGGTCTCGAGGAGAGCAGTGGACTTGTAGTAGCAGAAATGCCCATTAACGTAAGTTTTACATGAGCTCTATTCCAAATTTGTGTTCTAATGCCGGGGTATAAATTGCCACACATTTTGTTGCAGATATCTGAAATCCTATAAGCATTTTAACGTTTCTCTAATTTGGGAAAGGAATACTTGCCCGTTAAATGGACATTTCCAGCAAGCAGCATGTTTCTCCGCATTTAGGATTTGATTTGCCATTCTGTCCAAAGCACGAGGTAAGGGAAAATTGTTTAATTTGTGGTTGGAAGAATCTTGTATTCTTCCATGACTAGTTAAATATGTTTCTATTCTTCTCATCAAGAGCACATGCTCCTACTGTTACAATTGCAAGGTTCAAAGCTTTTACGTTTTGGCTATTGTACCTTTCTGATCCAAAATAGGGGGATCATTGTTGGAAAGAGATTATTTCATTAATGGTTCTTGAATTATGAGCTTTATTAATATAGAGTAGGATGCACTAGATTCTTCAGATGGTTTGCTTTTCAATATTGTTCATCGAATGCAGTATAAAACCATTATGCCTTATTTGATTTCTATGTGATATTAAAGCATTGTGTTTTATTTGATTTCTTTGCTAAGAAATTGAACATATAGTTTGAATATTTTTTTATGCTGACATAGATAATTATTTATGACTCCGGTTTCTCAAGTTCGTTAGTTTACCGTCTGGTGGTGACAAGAATCAGAGAGAATTAGGCTTCGTTTGGGACGGCTTTCTTACTGATTCTTAAAGCGATTTTTTAGTACAAAAATTTAATTTTTTACTAAAAAGTCTGCTTTAAGAAGTAGGAAGAAAGCTGTCCCAAACGATTGTGTATTATTTATAAAGTTTTAGGAGAGTTTTTAATAGGAAACATATAAACTTTAGAAATAATAATTATGATAGTTGACAGTTTGTTGAATAAGTAGAGTGGTTCCCATGTATCAATGAGGTGGCAATGAAAGGAGAAGGAAATTGGGAGGAAATATCGATGAGTTCTAGTCTCAACTTCAAAGTCAATTCCTCTCTTTTTTTTTTAGTAGAATTTCTTTGCCTTTGATTTTTTTTATGTTAACTTTTATATACAATAGGGAAAAAATATTTATGCAGCTGACCTCACGTAATAGGATAAAGACTTGGTGTTGTGTCTTTTGGAGTATTTCTAAAGTTTAGATTAAACACCACTGAGTTCCTGACAGGTTTGCATCCTAATTTACCTATTTTTATGTCATGCATTTTGGTTATGATATGACAATTTCATGTCTGAGAGTGTGCCACTCAAAGTCAAGGAAATATTTTTATTAATTTAACCAAAATTATTGCAACAATTTTTCTTTGATTTTTTCATTCCTTGAAAGTTACTACTGTCATGATAATGCTGTCAACATAAACTAGTTGTGCATAGACTTCCTTTGAAGCAACTTGTTTGACTAATAATGTGTGATTTTCTTGACTTTATATTCCATGTTTAGGTTTATCTTGACGAACCTTTCAAATTGCACCCTTGGAGATTGCTTCAACTAAGGGGTGTAAGCTTGCGCGAGCCAGCTCGAGCCATAATCGTTAACGAGATCACAAGTCAAGTTCATCGAGCCACGAGTTCGAGCTTGAGCCTATACTCGAGCTCGAGCTTCAGCTCATCCTAATTTGGCTCGAAAGCTCGTTGGGTCGCTTGATTAACTTAAAATATATTAAAAATTTAATTCAAATTAGTATTATGCAATATATTTTAACAATGTTAAATATATTATTTATTCAAAATAAAAATTAAGATTTTTTTTTTAAATTTAAAATTAAGAAATTGTGCTCAACAATTGAGTTAAGCTCAAGCTTTCTAAGAGCTATAGTAATCGATCCAAGCTCGTTCCTCGTAATATTATTATTTCAATTCACATTATTTAAAGTCTCAATAACTATTTTAGTGATAAAAAAAGAATGCAAGCTGGCAAGAGAAATGATTGGTGATTATGAGAAATATTTATATTTTAGAGTAGAGACTCATCTATGCTACAAGACTAAATTGATTATTTACAACCGGCTTTATTATGGTTTAACATATTTAAAGGTTTCATTCCATAATATAGTTTAGTTCAACCTTAAAAGTAAGTCACAAGCCGCTATGGCTATTATGAAAGAAACAACAGTTAGGGTTTACCTCTTCCAATGAAGAAGAGAAAGGAGAACAATTCCATAAGAAACCCTAGGCTCTCCTTTCTTTGCTAGCCACCAAATCATCACCTCCTCTTTCTAGTTTGAAGCCCAACCAAGAGCGAGAGAGATTGTTCGTGTGGATGCCAAACGTAATTTACCATCTGGAGACTAATCAGAATGCACTATAGCAATAGTATCGAGCACGATATCTAGCGCGGAAGCGAGATATCGTTCAAAAAATACGTCTAATCACATAATCAACATTAATATTTTATAAATATATGTAGTCATCAGCTCATGAAATTATTAATAAATTGAACACTTTATTTAAATAAAAAAAAAACTTAATGCTTCAAGAATCTTTTTGAATTATTGAGGCTTTGCGAAAAGAGAAGGGTGCCTTGAATATGAAGTGATTAAGCAAGTAAAGTGGCAGTACTGTGTTCAAATTTCTTTGTTTTTTAAGGGCACTAAAGGACTCAGAGATGAACTGTTTCATTCTAAGAACAAAGTGGTTGGCATGGACTTGGTTGTACTGGGGCCTCAAGTCCTTGATTGTTGCACCTAACGATTTGTCCTTTAGCTTAGAGATAAATTCATCCATAATATTTACAATTTATCTATTAATAAAATAAAATTAATATTTATGATTTTTTGATATTAAATTCATTTATTCATTTAGATCATAATTAACTTAATATGA